CGGCGTCGACACGTACATTTGAGCTTTGGCTCAACCTACTAACATGTAGGTTCTCTCCTCTTCAAAGACTATGGTATTCCTTGTGGTCCAAACCCAAATTTCAAATTTGAGTAATATAAAGTGGTTTCTATTTTCCTAGTTTTCCTACGTGAGATTGTCATTTTTTCAATTTTCCACCAATTTTTGGAGAAATGCTACAAGTGCATAATGTTACACATAATGGTATCCATAATTACACGTGACACTGGATCCAATCTTTAATTCAAATTCCACATTTTCACATCAACAACAAAATTTTGTCCAAATCACATTATGGACATCATTATGTACCCAAATTATGTACACATAGAATTTTCCTTTGTGAAATTTGGGTGAGCAAGTAATAATAGTAATTATTGATTTAATTAACTAATAAAAAAAATATGGTCTCCACTAAATAAATATTTCAAGTCGTACTTAGGCTGCTTCCGCCTCTAATATTGCATTCTCCGTCACCGGACTCCTAACACGCTGTCGTTTGCCCTATTTACTTATAAATTTACCTGCGCAGACGCTTTTCGCGAGGGTTTACCCTACAATTTGACCAGGTACTATTGTTGTTCATTAGGTTTTTATACGTCAATTCTACTAGACTAATTGCTCGCAGCAATGTCGCTAATTAGGTTTTTGACGAGGGCTTTTCCTTCGTTACTTTACCTAAGGGTTTCTGGAATTTTTTCTCTTTGAAGGTAAAGAACCCTTTGAGTGATCACTATTATTTCTGCCTGTACGTGAAATAATACATTTAATATATTTTGTATTTTTTGTGTGATTCATTATACATAAATAGTTATGTGTATTTTAGCACTATGGATGGAGTAGTAAATTCCAGACATTTTTGGTTTATTCCGTTTTAGATCAAAACTCTGATAAATGTGAACAAAAAGTGAAACTTTAGGGGCTTGATATGGAAAGAGAGAAAGGGAAAAAAAAGTTTCCATCTTTTATAATTTTTTTATATTAATTATTATTTTTTGTGAATTTTGGTTGCAATTTTTTTCCCTCTGAGTTTGATTCAACCTAAAGTTTGGAATTGCTTTTCAATGCATTCAGGGGACAGTTTGTGTAGCGTGCAATGGGTGGAAATGGGAAGCGCTTTCGTTCTCATCGTGATGACGTGGATAGCAAGAACCAAAAGAGGCGAGTGGATAGAGAAAGAGATAGAGACCAGAAGGGTAATGATGAACTGATAGTGTATAGGATTCTTTGCCCTGACGGTGTTATTGGGAGCGTGATTGGAAAGAGTGGAAAAGTAATTAACTCGATCCGGCAAGAGACAACAGCAAAGGTCAAGGTGTTGGACCCATTCCCTGGTGCTAGAGATAGAGTTATCACGATTTATTGCTATGTTAGAGAGAAGGAGGATGTTGAAGTTGATGATGAATTCAATAATAAGGAACCTCTCTGTCCTGCTCAGGATGCGCTCCTCAAGGTACACGAGGCTATTGCAAATGCAGTGGCTATGGTCGGGGATTTTGACAGGAAGAATAACGACAAAAATAAGGAGTGTAAGATTCTTGTTCCATCTAGCCAGTCTGCCAATATTATTGGGAAATCCGGTACCACCATTAAGAAGTTGAGAAACAAGACAAGGACAAACATCAAGATCACTTCCAAGGATGCCAGTGACCCGTCTCATTCTTGTGCATTGAAGTTTGACAATTTTGTGGTGGTTAGTTTTTCTTTAGCTTAGAATTGTATAATTGTAAATATCATCTTTACATTTAATTTGATCCAGATTATTTGGTGATGAATTAAAACTAGAAAGATAAGTCCTAAAATATTTTTCTCTTTACCTGGATCATTATGGGTTGCCGCAATCGAAGTCGTCATTGCTGTAGAGCAATAATGGATGCATTGCAGTTACTTGATATTCCTTTAGTTATAATAGAATGTGATGTATGTCTTTATTTGTAATAGATATCTGGCGACTCAGAGGCATTGAAGAAAGCACTTTTTGCCATTTCTGCTATCATGTACAAGTTTTCACCGAAGGAAGATATTCCTCTTGATGCTTCCATCCCAGAAACCCCTCCTAGCATTATCATCCCGTCAGATGTTCCCATATATCCTGCAACTGGATTTTATCAAAGTGTAGATCCTATTATCCCATCCAGATCTGTTCCTTCTATTTTAGGTCCTGCAGACGCACTGGACATACCTAGTCGTGCTGATGCTGGGAACACGTGGTCAGTTTATTCATCCACTCTTCCTGTGGTGTCTGGTTATGGTGGTGCGTCTCGATCAGAGGAGTTGACCATAAAAGTGTTGTGTCCATCAAATAAAATTGGCCGTGTTATTGGCAAAGGAGGAAGTTCCATCAAACGTATAAGGCAGGACAGTGGTGCTCATATTGAGGTTGAGGACCCAAAGACCAATTACAATGAGTGTGTGGTCAGCATTATCTCAACAGAGGCATGGCCATCATCTCTCTCATTGTTTATTTTTAGTTTATCTATTGAAATTACTCTAGAAGAAGATGAATACTTGAACCACTGATTTTCTTTTCTGCAGAATACACCTTTATTTTATCGAGGATATTGTGCTCGGGTTTGCTTTTATTTGTTTATGGACAGTTGAGTTGGATTGTCATGTTTCTGTGTACTACCTTGGGACTCTTTATTTTATTATTATTATTATTATTTTTTTTCAATCTGAAGTATCACTTGGTTTATGGATGTTTATAGGCAGGTTACAGTTTACGTCTATTGATTAAATAATTTGCTGACAAGCGAGGAAAGCTTATTGCGATTCTTGAATATCTATTACTGTCTTTATGTCTCTTAATTTACGCCAGAAAGTTGATTTCATGTATGCTGTGGTCCACTTTGCTTGCACTTTCATTTGGTCAAAGGTGATAGCAAAAACAGTCATGTTCATATTTGACAACTTCATTTAGAGACTCTTTCTTACAGTTTCTTCATATTTATTTTATTTGGTCATTTTAATTCAATTGTTATATATTTGCTTACCAAGATTGGCAAAATTTCCTCGTCCATTCCTGATAATCATGTGCAATATTTGTTTTGGGCAGTCAATGGATGATCTGAAGTCCACAGCTGTCGAAGCTGTGTTATTGCTGCAAGGAAAGATAAATGATGAAGATGATGATACGGTAACTTTGCGGCTTCTTGTTCCATCTAAGGTTATTGGATGTATAATCGGGAAAAGTGGTTCAATCATAAATGAAATCAGGAAGAGAACTAAAGCAGATATACGAATCTCCAAGGGCGAGAAGCCTAAATGTGCAGATGCAAATGATGAACTTGTTGAGGTATACGTTATCTGGCTCTTGTTAATGTTGTTGGTCAACAATTCTCTTACTTGGTACCTTATTTATTGAAACCCATTTTCCACATCATAGGTTGTTGGCGAAGTTGTTAGTTTGAGAGATGCACTTATTCAGATTGTCTTGAGGCTGCGAGATGATGTGTTGAAAGACAAAGAAGGTGGCCGCATTTCTTCTGGTGGTGCTGGTTTCTCGGTGCCCTCAGTTTTGCCTAGTATTCGTCCGGCTGCTCCTCTGGGCTATGAGCACAGTGCCGAAACTGAGAGTGGAGTTGGCCTGCTTTCCTCCAGAACCTATGGGTCTCTGTTGGTAAGCAACTGTGCTATTGTGAAAGCTATTTTTCTAGTAGATCCATGCTTAAAAGGAAAAAGATGTCACTGCTATCTTTACTTGACATTTCCTCATCTGGATGGTAAACCGTGCAATTGCGAACAAAGCATTGCAAATTATAAAGCACTGGAACAAGTTATGATTATTCTTCTTAATGAAGATCCTGATTTGGGACAATTTCTTGTTGATAACCCTCCCAAAATAAAAAGAAAAAGAGAAAAAGAAAAAGAATAACACCTTTTAAGTTAATAGCTATTTTTCTGGATCAGTTAAAGAGTTATGTGAAATAATGGTATGGCAAGGTGATACCATGTGTTATTTACACAGAAAAATCATGTATAAGTTTTTTTCTGGGGAATTTTTCTTGTTTTGAGGAAAGAATTTTAATTAATTTTTATCTTGGTTGCTAAATATAACTAATAAATCCCGTCCATTCCTAGATTGCCTTCAATCTATGGTTACGTTTTTTTCTGGAGGATTTTTTTTCTTGTTTTATGTGAAGAATTTTAATTAATTTTTATCTTGGCTGCTAAATATATCTAATAAATCCAGTCCATTCCTAGATTGCCTTCAATCTATATGTGCTTGCGCCAGATAGTGCTAAATGCCATTTCATCCAATTGTCAATTTCAAATTTCATGGTTTGGTTTTCCTCTTCTCTAACCTTGTTTTTTCTCTTTGATAAAGACTGGAGATAGTGGCTATGGATCATTTTCCTCCCATTCATCATCATTGTATGGAGGGTTAGTCTTCTATGTCATGAATTTATGACTGGGACTTAATTTTTCTGAAGTCTTCAAAGTATGTATTTGATTATAATCTTGCCTTGTTGAGCAGATTGCCTTCACCTTCAACTGTGGAAATGGTTGTACCCGCATATGCAGTTGGTAAAGTCATGGGCAAACGTGGCATGAATATTGAGAATATACGTAAGGTGAATCATTTTAATTTGACAATTGACAGAGCAATGATCAATACTGTTTGTATTTCTCTTCTACTATGTCTGAAACTTTCCTCCACTTTTCACTTCATTTTTCTGCTATTTGCCCCCCAAAACAAACACTTCATTCATTTGGGCTAGCCACATATCAAAATGGGGTAAATCTTTATTTCGGTTGCCCTTTAATGACAGCCTGCTTAACTTGCATAATAATATTTTTTTCCAGCCTCATGGCAGTCCCAATACAATTATGGTTCTTTTCAATTGCTAACTCTGGGTGTTTTGGTCTTGAAGTCTCGACTTTTATGTTGTGCACTGTTATCCGAGTTATTGTCCATGTTTGACTAAGCTTATAAGGTGCTTATAAGCTTAGCCATACATGCGTCATGCCATTACTTTAGAATCACATCAATTGGCGGGCCAGGCACATGTATAACCTGACCTGCTGAGATGCACCGACATGCATCTTGCGCTACCCGACGCGTGTCCGACAACCACATGACTCCGACATGCTTCCATAACATGTCTAAGTTACACCAAGTGGCATATCCCCCTTTTTCTTTTGCTTTTCTACCGCCAGGCACGTGACCTACATGTTCTTTTCTACCACCAGGCACGGCAAAACAAAAATTAACCTTGAATCTCCATTTATGATGTTCTTGATGACGAGAATGATAGTTTACTTCTTCATCTCCTTCTTTCCGTTGCTATTCTTCTTCTGGTGTTGTCTTGTCTCTCGTCGGCTGCACCGACTCTTCTCCCTTGAAAGCAAACCCTAGATTTTCTATTTGAAACGACCTTTTTAACCCAGAGTTCTTGATGTTGTCTTTTACAACTTTACAATTTTTCGGAAACAAATTTCACGTCTTTACCTTTAAATGAAAGACAAATTCAATTTATAATAATAGATTGGTCAACTAGATATAAAAGCTCAGCTTTTTATTTTTATTTATTTTTTAAAAAAAGTTACTTGACTTTCTAACCTAATTCAGCCCCTTTTTTCTTAAATTATTTCCTCTCGCATTCACAAACCTGCTTATATGCACAAAATTTTATCTGCTTTACAATATAAAATAAATGAAAAATATTTCAAAAAATAAAATTAAAAGAATATAATTTTAATTGATGTGTTGTGTTGTGTTGTGTCAATACTTTACTAACCGGTTACACGTGTCTTGTTGGTGCTTTATAGATAAGCTGTTGCATTGAAATTCCTGGAACAAGCTGGGAAGAGCTTTTCTGGGATTGGTGGGGGTGGGGAGTATGCATTTGGTGTCACATTAGGATGTATGGATTATTGTGGTTTGTGCATGAGTATCATATCACTTTGAACTTATGTTCTCACATGCATCCATTCTCTTCCAGATATCTGGTGCAGCAATAGAGATTTCAGATTCCAAATCTTCCCGAGGTGATCGCGTGGCTTTAATATCGGGCACAGCTGAGGAGAAGCGTGCAGCTGAAAACTTGATACAAGCATTCATAATGGCCACTTAAATTATGAGGATACTTTTGTTCCCGTATAGATGAAAACTCTGGTTCATTGTTGGGGTTATTCCGTCAATCGTTTCTCCTCTCAAGCTCCTTTAGGTCAAGATCATAGGCTTCTGCGTGACTCACTTTTCTTCTGTAGGAAATCTTATAAAGATGTTTCTGGAAGTTTAGTAGCATGTTCTGTTTTCAAGTGGTATAGTTTCTACACTTTACCAGTGTTGCCTGATAAGATCTACTCATCCATGGTAGATGTTCATAGGATGCTTTCTTTCCTTTTTGTGTTTATCAAGCCTTTGTGCATCTTACCTCTGATACTGCTTTTCTCATGAATTTGATGTTGAGTTGATTGTCAAATTCATAATACATGGATCCTTCAGTTTTTTCCCATTCCTTCCTCTCAGCTTCTTCTCCTGTCCTTTTGATGTATATGTGATTGATCCAGGTATCTTCCTCATGTGCCCTCCGTGCTGTTCTTATGCATAGATGTAAGTGCAGAACAAACCTCTCCTGATGAAATGCAGGTTTTATGAGGCTTTATCTCGTCCCAATCTGAATACTCTTGCTTGATTTGGTACAAGTATCTAATGCTTGCTAAGCTATGAGACTGCGATTTCTGATAATTTCTAATTTCAACTGTTTCTGGCTTCCTTCTTGACATGTACCACTTAATCTACCTGTATGTCCCTATTTTGTATTTATTTCTTGCTTTCCATCAGAAACGTATGCGCATGATTTCCTTTGTGATCTGCTAAGAATTGTACTCCAAGTCATTAGAAGTTCTATTCATGTCTGATTCAGCCTTTCAGGAATTAGAATGCATAAAATTCTGCTTGTTATCTTATCCCGGCATATTTTTCTGAGGAATTTCGCGAAGTCTTCGATTCAGCGTATGCTTACCGTTTACTCTTACAGAAATACTACTAAATCAGACCCTTAGGGTTCCCATGTGGACTATACATAGAATCAGGTATGTTCACTGCCACCTCATTTTCTTTTGGTCTGTCTCAGATGTTTATTTTGTTGTCCTTCACCAAGATATAAATTACTGCAGTTCACTACTTATGCTCTGACAACTAGTAGATGAATTTTAGACAATTATATCTCCAAAACCAATTCTATTCCTTTCCCCAACCACAGTGTTCCAAAAGGTCAAGTCGGGTATTGATGTGTTCTGCCTATGCTAGGTCTGGCATAAGCCTCAAATAAACCAATAGAATTAATCAAAAAATTATAAGAATGCAAAATTATGCTCATGACAAACCATAAGCCATTTGGATAATCCATAATAAAATGTTTCAACAAAATTAAAAGTTGGATTTGTAACTAGAATCTTTAAAAAGGATCAACAAATTAGCAAGTAATAAATTAATAAAGTACTAATCAGTAATCACATAACAGGATTACTAATCTGCCATCACTACCAGCAAGATCTTTAAGAAATCACAGTTTATTTTATTACTGTCTCATCATCACCACCATACATGTTTTTCATTCTTCATCTACAGCTTGCAGCAGGAACACAAAAGTTTAGACTTTTTTGGTTACTTATAATTAAAATACTTATTTTGTCAGAGCTAACTATCCAAATAAGTAATATTGTACTCTTTACTAATTTCACAACGGTACTACCTATATCGTAACCCTTAGTAGTCTATCTATTAAATAAAAGTAATGCTATTTATGACCACTGGTGCTTAACACCAATATAGGTGATAATTAGATGTCATGAAATGATGAGTTCATTTAAATGCAAAGTTAAAACATCCATTTAATTGCACTTATTAAGTGTGGCCACGTAAACTAGTGCTCTAGCACTAGTGGGGCTAGATAGCATTATTCATTAAATAAATGCAATATTATTTAGTTTAAAACGATATTATTTAAACAACAAAACTTTTAGCGTAACAATTTTTATAACTAATTCGAGTAGTAAGTATAAATATAATGTATTCTAATCCTCTTGGTTAATTATAATAAAAATTGGTTGAAAGATAGAATTCCATTTGTTTTATTAAATAGTTTTGCATATTATAAATCCTATACTTGTTAAATTACGTCAAAATGGTAAGTATTAAATTAAATTATGTTCTCGGTTATTAAAATTTAACTAAATTAAAATTGGTTGAACAGTAGTAACAACGAGTTCATTTTAATTTCAAGTATTACATATATTAAATGTGCAACGTATAAAAAACATAAACTTTAGTTTAATTTATTAAAATATACAAAGTTACAAACTAAACCCTGATGCCAATAAATTTGAGTTCAGTACGTAACTCTTTTTTCGCCATCCTTTTGGTTCATTACTAGATCCAAGCCTACTCAATAAAACCTTTAGATTCCAGAATTTAATCAATATTAGTCTCATCAGCTAAAACTACATCATTGATTAACATCTGGGAACCCGTCTTGAATATGTCGTGAGCTTATCCATGGACCATGAATCGGTTGAAAAGTCAAGGAATTAGGAGAACCTTGGTGCAAGCCTATAGTGATAGGGAATTCTCTACTAGCAGGACCACTATATCTTGTGGTCGTGATTGCAAAATACTATTCCTTATCTGACTACATAAAAGCGTCATATTGGATTTTTCGGTTATTTTCTTATTCTAACAACTGCCATTAAGTAATTGATTTACCAAACCTGTAACTTTTAAGCGACAATTGACATAGGCGTAAATATTGAATAAAACACTACTGCTTGTAAGTCATTTAAGTATGAATAACATTTTTAAGCTTAGCCATACTAGTTCTCCAAAAGTCAAAAAGTTAAGATTCTTGCCTCAGTTGCTTTGTAAACATGGTTCGGAACATCTTCTGCCTGACATTTGCACCTTGAGACTTTTCTGTCCCAACTTTCTGCTGTCATTAGCATTTATGAGAGCACCACAACCGTTGGTGTTCCTTCTATTCAAATCAGTAATCATCTGGAACCTTCAGGGATTGCTCAATTGATCAGGTCTTAGGTTTGCTCCCCATTGGTCACCAGTTCGAGTCCCCTCTGGACCACTGAGGTGAGTACCAGACCGTAACCTTCAGGGCTCCATGGGATTAGTCGAGGTGCGCGCAAGCTGGCCGGCGGACATCCACGGTTATGAAAAAAAAGTAATCATCTGGACAACTTTGTTTTGCACAATAAAGATGCTACATCCATGATATTACATCTTGTACTCAACACCATATACCTTGGGAGTCTTTGGATCACTCCTCTTTGTATGCTGTGCAATTTATTTTTAGTTTTTTCTAAGTTGCCTCCACCACTCTGCTTTCCATTTATTTTTTCTTATTTTCCCCATTTCTTTCTTTTACTGCATCTTTCCCCCCTTTTGGTGTGGTAAGTAGCTTGGTTGTGGGGTTTTGGACTATAGTTTCAATGAGCACTTTTATTAGTATCCACGATTCCATTTCATCTCTATTGTAAGCATCCAATTCTCTACTAGCCAATGATATTATTCTGTTGCTAGCATTTCCTTCAAGGTTTTGTTAGAACCATTCAAATCAGCTGATCTTCTATTCTCTCTCACCATGACAACAACATTGGGTAACTGAGGTTAACAGTTAGGCCAAAATTTTATAGTTGCACCCTAATAAGTTGGCCCACCAGTCTAGTCTACTAGTTGTTCTGGTTGACGCCATCCATTATCAGGTAAATCATCCTCCTCACATTGAGAAAGCTGTAACAGTTATTAATACTTGCGTGTAATTCTCCCTTTGTCCTCCCTCATTCATCTGGCACTCAAAATTTGTATTTCCTTATTGTTGTCCTCATTGCATCTGTTCAAATTGAGTGCATTTCAGAGTGTAGGTGCCATAATAACTGCTCAAGTTATTAGTTTGCGGTCAGAGTAGATTATTTGGGGCTTTGTTCAATCATTTGGTTGGTGCAATGGTGGTTGTAAATGTCTGGGGTATAGCAGATGTAGAACTTTTAGCTGGACTCTAGCAGGTGTACCTTACATGTAGAAATATTAATTTTTTTTCAGTACTGATTTCTACTGCAAGGAGCTTCTTTACGAGGTTGGACACGTCTTTTGTTGCTTGTAGCTTATTTTTATGGTGGGTCATTTTTGAGTTGTTTATTTGTTCTTTTTTTTATTTGGACTAAATAAAAGGAAGAATAAACTTCCCCTTCCTTCACAGAAGGTTCATATTTGACGTATCTTCAGCTATTGTTCGACACTTATAAAAAAAATTACACTGTTTATATGCTTCTTTTTTCCTCCTTTTTTATGTGTGAGACTAGCAATGAAATTATCTTGTTTCATGTATGTCGATTTTCCCAAAAGGTACGAATATCTGGGTGTTTATTTCTACCGATATTACAGGTGTAATAAATACTAGATTACGCCTTTGATAATTCTTCTGGGGAATGATTGTTTTGTGACATTGTTAGAAGCATATTTGCACGACATTGTATATTTTATCACCATCTTGTATATTTATAAAAGTACATATATTTCCTGCTTCTAATCCTGAACTCTGATCTCTGTAAAATCATTTTCTAGAAAGCGTTTAAATGTAGTGGGCGGGTTATAAATTATTGCATTATTTGGTATGGTGGGGTGTATCAAGGTAAATAAGGTAACAAAGTTCTGACTTCAAATTTGTATCATTGACTTCTAATTTGAGCCATTTGTATTCTCATCAACATTGTGTACTACGTCAAAAGACTGCCTATTTGTTTTACTTGCTCGGTTCACAACTTGAAATGACAATATGCATTGGAACGATTTTTCTTCAAATGCTTTTATTTTTATATATGAATCTTGTATGTCAATTGCAGTTTTTGTGTAGTGTATGGTTTGTGTTATGAAGAAATCCATGATTGCAAGTATGCTAATTGCTTGAAGATGTACTCATGATGCAATCAATGAACTTGTGAAGGCTTTCGGGCATGTCATGTTCCATTTCAGATTATCCAAATATTTACACTTGACAGAGTTCTTAGAAGTTATACCTGTCTTTGGAATTTATCATGTGTCGTGATTTCCTCAAAAAGGGAT